AAATATAGACAGATACTGAAAGGCTGAAACGTTGTAATAGATATGGCGACAAGATGAGCACAATAGTCCGAATAATCTAAATAATGTACATAATACCTCATCTCAGAAATATAGACAGATACTGAAAGGCTGAAACGTTGTAATAGATATGGCTACAAGATGAGGACAATAGTCCGAATAATGTAAATAATGTAAATAATACCTCATTTTCTGTCTATATTTCTGAGATGAGTTATTATGTACATTTTATAGTAGTTGCCTTTTGACACCACACACTTTATCGAACATTTCCTCGATGTCTTGTAATATTGTTCTTTTCAAGCGGGATTTGATTTTTGGAAAGAGGAAGACACAAATAGAAAGATATGAGGTAAATGGTCGTTGTCGGACCTGTGACCAAAAAACGCTACACAATTCATGATCACTGATGGAACCCCAATGATGTGATCAGGCGACCACACTCTACACACTTCCCTTCCAAGCACCGCTATAAACAACGAAAGTGAGCGAGAACATTATAACATAGTGTGCACGTGAAAAAGGTTCAAGATCAGTCTCTGCCAAGCACCGGCTTCCCTCTGAGTCCTTTAACTCTGTTACCATAGTAACAGTCCGGATACTTTTTGATCATATATATATATATATATATATATGTGTGTGTGTGTGTGTGTGTGTGTGTGTGTGTGTGTGTGTGTGTGTGTATATTGTGTACATAAAGTTCGTGTGCAATTTATAACTTTATTTGTATTTACGATAGAAATAATTTGTAAAAAATATTAGAAAGACGTAAATCTATATTTTTAAGGTTTTATTGAAATTTTTATTTAAGTTTTCACATGTCCTCCATCATTAGAAATACAAAGGGTAATACGATTTTGCAGTTCACGGAAAACATTTGCCAACTGATTTACAATAATGCCTGAAATCACATTAGTTATTTTAGCTATACTTAAAACTAGGTACATTAAACTTTATAACATTTTTTACAGATTATTTCTATCGCAAATACAAATAAAGTTACAAATTTTTAAAATGCAAACGAACTCTATGGACAATTCCTGTATATATATATATATATATATATATATATATATATATATATATATATATATATATATATATGTTTAGATCCCGGGTTGAAGTATTCGGATGTGTAGCCACACTGATGAGCTATGATACAGCGAAACAGTCTGTCAGTGGATGACGATATATATATATATATATATATATGATAATTAATTGATCTCTTTTAATCCGCCATTATTTCTTCTTATTATAAACATTATTTCTTGTGAGAACAGACAGTTGAATAGACCTCTCATGTATTTTACACTGAAATGAACGTCTATCGTCTTAGATAATAAAACGTCATTAAAGTACTTTTAATGATCTTAGTCTCTCGTTGAAAAATGCAGGAATGTCTGCCGAAACATGTTTATGCACTAAAAATAACATTCATAGTAAGAATCATCATCATTATCTCTCTCTCTCTCTGTATATATATATATATATATATATATATGTGTATATATGTGTGTGTGTGTGTGTGTGTTTATGTTTTTAACTGTTACGATATGCATATGTAGGTAAATACAAATATATTTATGTTTTCATTTCTTTCGTTCTTTCATTCTGTTACGATTCTCACCTATATTTATTTACTTACACACACTTACCTGCTATCATTCCAGCCACCCCAAGCCATATTTAAAAAACAAACATCAGAGTCTTCACTGTATCTGTCATCTTTTCTACTTATCTACAAAGATTCAATGTGGAGCTCTTGACTCGTAAACAGCCAGATTTGTCCAATACTAACTCGGAAAATCCAAGTGCTATAGAACAAGGTTTCTTCTCTACTGATATCTATGAGGACTCATTTTTCTTGTTCTCAGTACCAATAGAAAAAGCTCTTCATTCTGACACGCAAGACAAACAGTACCTTTTGGGCGCAGAATATATTTCAACTTCATCCACCGCCAGGCGAATGAGTCCGAACTTTTATTGTCGATAACTCCAAAACGGTGGATTTTATCAAAATTTCTTTGTTATTTTCGAATTAAGCATCTACATTTACACCTAAATGGAACTATTCGGGAATTTTTTTATTAGAACCTGAGCGCGTGGTTTGAAATGCAAATTACCCATTTGAGGTTCCGATTTGAAATTAGTTATGTCATCCGTACATTTGAAACACTAGTAGAATCTTCGACAGAATCGAAACACGCATGCAGAATTTACAAGTTAACCTCTAAACCCCAGTAGAGCAGGTCAAGTGCATACTCCTCCTGATAGGGGTGAGCCTGATTGGTGGCCTCGGGCAGTGCTTTGTGAGGATCTCTATCTTATTAACATTTGTTTTGTTTGTTTTTTTATACCTACATTTATATACATTACAAATAAAACTAAGGATAAGGTTTAATGAATTATACTATTACTATTAAAGGATGAAAAATATCCGCGGATTTTAACGTTATTGCGGGGTCTTTTTTTGTTGTTCAAATTCGTAAATATGATTTGCTCATACTGAGCCTCGAAATAAACACTATCTAAAATTCACTATTTTTTATCCATAAAGTTGAACGTGTTAAAATTCTTCAACATTTAACAAGAAAGTTGATGTTAAAAATTTCCGTAAAACATTGTTTTGTTTAAGATGGAAAGATCGATAATGACAGGTCTTTAATTTGTATTTAGATACATTTTATTTATTTTCAATTTTTCTAGTTGAATTGTTCGCCTATTTTGCATATGATCCATTATTGTACATAATTAGATTACAATAAAATATGTATTTTATATAAACACTACCTTATATAGTAGAGTGGGTATCCCATATCGTAGATTCGGGGGTGAGGAGGAGACTTTTGCACAGACCCCCGCATGAATTAGGTGATCCATTTTAATCTCAAATTCCTAAAAGATTATTGTTATAATCTCATGTTTTGCAACAGGACTGTTTCAGTCAAAAAATTATTCACCTTTTTAACAAACAAAATCTCAAGTTGATTTTAAAAATTGCCGCAATCATTGTTGATTTATTTAAGATGGAATAATCTATTATGATCTAATTTGTATTTAGATACATTGTATTTATTTTCAATTGCTCGAGTTGAATTGTTCACCTATATTGCATATGATGCATTATTGTAAATAATTAGGTTACAGTACACTATTTACATTATTCGGACTATTGTCTTCATCTTTTTCGCCATATTTATTACAACGTTTCAGCTTTCAGTATCTGTCTACATTTCTGATATGAGGTATTATGTACACTATTTACATTATTCGGATTATCATCCTCATCTTTGTCGCCATATTTATTACAACGTTTCGGCCGTTGTACGCTCCGGCCTTCTTCAGGTGGTTGGAATGTCGAACTGAACCCTTTATTTCGCTCACTGGGGTAGACTGTTCTAGTTCCACCTGCCATGTTTAATGAATGCCTGTTGTCAGTTATCTCCTGTTAATTTCCCTCTGAAAGTTCTCCACCGCCTTAACCGGGTATTGAACTCACACTCTTTGGGTCCAGTTACTGGATCTAACCAACGCCTTTATCCACTGTGCCATGTGTCCTTGAGACCCAAAGAGTGTGAGTTCAAATTCCATGTTCTGCCATCTATTTACGCAAGCTTGTTAGATTATTCACTAACTTATTTATTTCAATATATCTTGTGAATGTCAAATATTCCCGGTTTTCTTTTCTCATTATATCTTCTAAAAATTTAAACTGCCTTTCTTTGATTTTTATCTATAATTGTTCTTTTTTTCCATTTTCTTTAAAATTTATTTGTTGCTTACATGCTCCGTCCATGGTATTCTCAGCATCCTTCTGTAGAACAACATATTTCTTACCCCGTCTACTCTTTTAGAAATTGTCCCGTATCCACTGCAATAAAGGGGGGAATGTTAGATAGCAGCTTAACACTCTTTTCTTTTTTTTCTAACGAAAATTTTCTGTTTGTTAAATTTTCATGCTTCATAAAGATTTCGTTCATCTTCTTTTTTTTCTTTTTTTTCTGACGGCAAAATTTACTATTCCAGTGTCAGTCAGTTATGTGCCATAAGTGATACACGCTTAGGCGATCCTGTATCTTTCGGTACATGACTGACGAGGCAGATTTTTTCCCACAGTAGGTTGCCATTTCTTTCTGCGGTAGACCAGTTGCCATATAATGCTAAAGAACTCCTACTATTTACCCATAGCTGGTGGGGAGAAGAAGAGGATTCATACATTTCCCAAGGGCATTAGCACGTAAGTGAATGTAGTGGATTCGACTGGAATTCGAACTCGGCTCTCTGATTCCTCAATCCGAGCAGCTATCCATTACTCCAACTTGCCTACTGCTGTTTAAATTTCTGTGTCACATATTCCGTCATCATTCCAGAAAATCAAATAATTGTACAACTGACGTCCCCAATTTGTAGCTTGCAAATTCTTGCTGCCCTTTTTGCTAACCACCATTTACTCTATTTTCTTACATGCTTTGTTCTTTCTTCTCGCTTTTCTTCAGGACTTTTTCTAGAAAGAACTGCAGACATTTTTTGCTCTTCTGTGACTGCAATCCAGAAAGGATATACAAAAGACTTATAAAGTTCATCTCGCGGATCAATCCGCTTCGTTTGTTTGTCCGATTCTCGCTACTGTAGCCTTGTGCCAGACCTGCCTGATTGTCATAAATAAATTCAGCAACATGTTAACATGCTTGTTCCATGAACCAGTTCACTAGTTCCGGGAGTTCGATTCTTGTAGGCGTCCAATGACCATGGCCTTGTACCAGACTAAGCAATATTCAGTGAAAACAGCAGCAGAAACAAGTTGAAAGTGCATTTGCGAGAGTAGATTTATCCGTACGAAACTCCAATAATGGAATCAATTTCTGGGGTAGTAAGAGAGAGAGAGAGGGAGAGGGAGAAGTAGAAGTGTAATGGTGGAAAGAGGGGGGAGGGAGAACGGCAAAATATTCTCGAAAATACGGTGATGGATAGGGGCAAAGATGGCTGAGGTAAGAGGAAACATTACACACGCATGCGTGCGTAGGGAAAGGGTCAGGGAAGACAGACAGCTACGGTCCCATTTTAGTACAATAGGATCCTCCACCTCGCGTCCATAATCTAGATTTCCCTTACCATTTTCACTCAGAAGCTCTTTATGTCTTACCAAACTTTGCCTCCGTTCTTGTGTAAGGGAGACACCGCCGCCCTCAGTTAGAAACTTCTACCCCAGCTTTGCAACTAGGCTGTTTTTAATTCTCTTCTCCACGTCATCTTTACCATTTGTGACGATTCGAAGGTCTCTTATTCGTTCGTTCGTTCCTTCCTTCCTTCCTTCTTTCTTGTCATCTTTTGTGGGCTGTTGACCAACTTTCACCCCTACCTACCTTTTCATTTTTTCTCTTCTATTTTGCGTTCTGTAGACAAATAGTTCCTAGCTTTACTAGCCACAGCTATCTTGCTCCATTATTCGGCTGTGTATCATTTACCTCCAAAGAAGCAGCCATTCTTTTGATCCCACCCTATTCTTTTTCCTCTTGTTCTTGAGTATTTTTTTTATTGTTGCTGTTGCTGTTATTGTTTTTGTTATTGTTTTGGTGTTGCTGTTATTGTTGTTGTTGTTGGTTGTGGTGGTGTAGTTAGTAATGTTGTTGTTGCTGGTGGTGTTGTTGTTAGTAATGTTGTTGTTGGTGGTGATGTTGCTGATGATGTTTTTCTTATCCTTTTTCTTTTAGCTTAACAGTCACTCTTTCTCAGTTAATTTTTCATTATTTTCATTTCTTCCTTTTCATTCTTTCGTTCATTCTTTCTTTCTTTGTCTACTTCTTTTTCTTTCTTTCTCTTTATATTTTCTTTGCATATCCACTTTTTCTTTCTTTATTATTTCTTTCTTTTCTGTATCCTCTCCTCGCATATAAAGTCTTCTTTTTTCTTTCTTTCTTTCTTTCCTTCCTTCCTTCCTTCTTTCTTTCTCTTTATGCTTTCTTTGCGTATTAATTATGTATTTCTTTCTTTCTTTTTTCTTTCTTTCATTATTATTTTTCTTTCTTTCTCTTCCTTTAATCTTTCCTTTATTTCTTTCTTTTCTGTATACTCTCCTCGCATATAAACTCTTCTTTTTTCCTTCCTTCCTTCCTTCCTTCCTTCCTTCCTATCTCCTTCCTTCCTTCCTTCCTTCATTCCTTCCTTCCTCTCTCCTTCCTTCCTCCTCCCTCTCTCCTTCCTTCCTTCCTTCCTTCCTTCCTTCCTTCCTTCCTTCCTTCCTTCCTTCCTCTCTCCTTCCTTCCTCCTTCCTTCCTTCTTTCCTTCTTTCCTTCCTTCCTTCCCTTTATGCTTTCTTTGCGTATTAACTCTTTCTTTCTATCTTTTTCTTTCTTTCATTATTGTTTTCTTTCTTTCTCTTCCTTTCTTCTTTCCTCGCAGAGCAACTCTTTCTTTTTCTTTCTCTTTATACTTTCTTTGCGTATCCACTCTTTTTTCTTTCTTTCTTTTTCTTTCTTTCTTTCTTTTTCTTTCCTTCTTTTTTTTGTTTTCTTTTCTTTCTTTCTTTCTTTCTTTCTTTCTTTATACTTTTCCCACATATAAATTCTTTCTTTCTTTCTTTCTTTCTTTTCTCTCTCTCTTTCTTTCTTTTTATTTAATTTATTTCTTCTATTTCATTTTTCTAATCAAATCATTTAATGATTTATTTATTCAGCCTTTCCATCTCCCCCTCTTCCTCTTCCTCTTCCTCCTCCCCCCCCCTCTTCCCTTGCCCTCCTCTTTTTTGATTATTCCATTCCAGCACACCTTTCAGTAAAATCCACTTTCAAGCGTACTATACTTGGCAACCAAAACCTCCTCCCACCCCCTCCATGCTATCAACTATTACATCTACCAACCAATGAAGAAACTTTCTACTCGAAACTGTAAAACAAAAATAGAAAAATTAAAAATTGGAATTATGAAAGAACCCCACACCCGGCACCAGAGAATTGGGGAAACTCACAGGAAAAAAAACAAAAAAAAACAGTCTCCTAAACTTCAAAGCAATTCCGACATCCTCTAAGATTTAACTTTTGATTTGTCAGGTTTCATTTGTGCATCTATCTATCTATCTATCTATCTATATGCTTTTTGATACTTTTCGTTCACCTTTCTTTCTTTCTCTCTCTCTTTCTTTCTTTTTTATTTCTTTCTTTTTCTTTATTCATTTCATTTCTTTTTTTTCTTTCGTTCTTTTTCTTTATACTTTTCCCAGTTTATTCATATCTCTCTATCTCAGTCTATTCATATCTATCTATCTATCTATCTATCTATCTATCTATCTATCTATCTATCTATCTATCTATCTGCATTCTGCTTCTTTTCGTTCACCTTTCTTTCTTTCTTTCTTTCTTTCTTTCTTTCTTTCTTTCTTTCTTTCTTTCCGGTGAATTTTTCTCAAAGATTTGTTTGCTTGTATCTTACTTCTTGACAGTCGCCACAGTGGTACTTTTTCAACCGGTGATCGAATCCGAATAAAAGCCAAGATTTTGAAATAATACAAAAATGATACACCTCCCTTGAATAACGTACCTTTCTTTCACACACACACACACACACACACACTCTCTCTCTCTCTCTCTCACTCACTCACTCTCTCTCTCTCTCTCTCTCTCACACGCACACACATAGATAGTTTACAATTTGCGGTTATATCAGAGGTAGAATATGTGTGTGTGTGTGTATGTGTGTGTGTGTGCGTGTATATGTATGTGTGATCGGATGTTGTTTATGCATTTCCACAGTTTTCATCAGATTTCGATGAAATTTTTTTGTTTGATAGATATTTCTTCAGTGCAGGTTTTGAGTTCAAATTGTTGGTGACTATGGATCTCCACTACTTCCTGTCCAATTATAACTCTCAAAAGTTAAATCTTAGAGGATGTCAGAATTGCTTTGAAGTTTAGGAGACTGTTTATAACTCTCAGCAGCATCTTACTATTTACTATCTGTTCATGGATATATATATATATTATTCATAAAAAAAAAACTTTAATAAAAATAAATAGTTTAAATTATTACAATATTATTACAATATTATTATTTATTATACAGTTGCCTTTTCAGGCTCACCCCCTGCATTCAAATTTCTACCCCCCCCCATTTGGGGATGTGCCGCAGTTGCACCCAATTGTTGTTAATAATATTGATTTTCGGGTGGGCCGATTTTAAACTTAAACTGCTCAACTGAACGGTAAAAATTCCCAGTAATGTAAGACCCGGCCGAAACATATATATATATATATATATATATATATATATATATATATATATATATATATATATATATACTCATACTCTTTGGGTCCAGTTACTGGATCTAACCAACGCCTTTATCCACTGTGCCATGTGTCACGTGGAACTAACACAGTATACCCCAATGAGTGAAATAAAGGGTTCAGTTCGACATTCCAACCACCTGAAGAAGTTCGGAGCGTACAACGGCCGAAACGTTGTAATAAATATGGCGACTAAGACGAGGACAATAGTCCGAATAATGAAAATAATGTACATAATACCTCATTTCAGAAATATAGACAGTTTCTCTTGTCTTTCTCTTTCTTCTACTTCTTTCTTTATAGTCTTCCTTTCTTTTTATTCTTCTTATTTTTTCTTTTTCCACTTCTCTTTTTTCCAATATTTTTACCTCTCTCTATTTTTCATTTTTCTCTTCTTTCTCCGCCTTCCATTTCTTTCTCTAGCTTTTTAATCCTTCGCCATTTTTCTTTTCTTTTTTTCATTCTTCTATAGAGATTTTTCTTTACTATGACGCTTATTCTCAGCTTCGATATCTTTCTTTTTTTTTTTCTCCCCCTGTTGACTTTCTCATTCCTTCACTGTATTCTGCTTCCAACTTCTCTAATTCTATGTGGGTCTTTTTCGGTCATTGCTTCAGCCGAGAGCTAGGAAAAAAAAAAGAACTTCCCCCTATCCCACCGATTTTCTTTAACGACCCCACCCTCTGGCTTCACCCTTCTTCGCCCTCCCTGCCACACTTTCTGGAACAACTTCCACAGAACTGGGATAGGCGATAACATCTAATCTGAAATACTGATCTCCAAAATATTTCTAGTTTTTTTTTTCAGCCCCCACTCCTAAATCTCTTCCTTCTATATTCCAGGTCTATCCGAGTCTCTCCCTCTCCCCTCTGTCTGTCTGTCTGTTTCTCTCTCTCTCTCTCTCTCTCTCTCTCTCTGTCTATCTATCTATCTATCTATCTATCTATCTATATATATATATATATCGTTTTCTTTAGGTTTCTAATGCCTTCCCTTCTCTTTCAAAGAGTACAATAAAAAGCATGTAAAAGTATACAAATCCATCGTTCCGGGCAACCCTCCTATGTGACGTCGAATCATGGGTCATCTACCACCATTACGTACGCCTATTTGAACACTTCCATCAGCGTTGTGTCTATATCATTCCCAGTGTGCACTGGAGCAATTTCGTTATTAACACTGAACTCTTCAAGACTGCAGAAGTCAGAACCATGGGGGGTCATGCTTCGTAAGATTCAGGTCACATATCAAAGAAGGGAGATTGTCATCGTCTAAGAAAGTCACATGTCACAGAGGGAGAGGAAGAGTGCTTCATCTCTTCTGAAACTGACTAGCGCCATTGGGCAGCACAAGCTGCAGACAATGCGACATGTTTTATTTAATAAATGAACATTCTGTATTTGTCTATATTTCTGAGATGAGGTAGCATGTACACTATTTACTTTATTCGGACTAATGTCCTCATCTTTGTCGCCATATTTATTACAACGTTTCGGCCCTTCAGTATCTGTCTATATTTCTGAGATGAGGTATCATGTACACTATTTACATTATTCGGACTATTGTTCTCATCTTTGTTGCCATATTTATTACAACGTTTCGGCCTTTCAGTATCTGTCTATATTTCTGAGATGAGGTAGCATGTACACTATTTACTTTATTCGGACTAATGTCCTCATCTTTGTCGCCATATTTATTACAACGTTTCGGCCCTTCAGTATCTGTCTATATTTCTGAGATGAGGTATCATGTACACTATTTACATTATTCGGACTATTGTTCTCATCTTTGTTGCCATATTTATTACAACGTTTCGGCCTTTCAGTATCTGTCTATATTTCTGAGATGAGGTATCATGTACACTATTTACATTATTCGGACTAATGTCCTCATCTTTGTCGACATATTTATTACAACATTTCGGCCCTTCAGTATCTGTCTATATTTCTGAGATGAGGTATTATGTACACTATTTACATTATTCGGACTATTGTCCTCATCTTTGCCGCCATATTTATTACAACATTTCGGCCTTTCAGTATCTGTCTAAATTTCTGAGGTGAGGTATTATGAACGCTATTTATATTATTCGGACTATTGTCCTCATCTTTGTCGCCATATTTATTACAACGTTTTGGCCTTTCAGTATTTGTCTATATTTCTGAGATGAGGTATCATGTACACTATTTACATTATTCGGACTATTGTACTCATCTTTGTTGCCCTATTTATTACAACGTTTTGGCCGTTGTACACTCCGGCCTTCATCAGGTGGTTGAAATGTCGAACTGAACATTTTATTTCGCTCACTGATGTAGACTGTTCTAGTTCCACGTGCCATGTTTTAACTGACATCCATTAAAACTTGACATGTGGAACTAGAAAAGTCTACCCCAGTGAGCGAAATAAAGTATTCAGTTCGACATTCCAACCACCTGATGAAGGCCGGAGTGTACAACGGCCAAAACGTTGTAATAAATAGGGCAACAAAGATGAGGACATTAGTCCGCATAATGTAAATAGTGTAAATGAACATTCTGGCTTCATAGGATATACCTTAAACAAACAGAATTAAATTATTTAAGTTAATGGTACATTTTTACCAAACCATAGAGCGGAAAATAGTGAGGAAAATCCAAACTTGAAGAAAATTTAGATATAGTTCATTATTTGCAAGGAATTGAAGGGAGAACTTAAAAACATCTATTTTTCTTCTTTCCATTTCACTGAAACCAAGTAGCATCTCTGATATGTCTATTCTGTCTCTCCACGTGATCAAAACGGAATGGTTCATTATTTATAAGGTTTTGGCAAGGCGTAACGGTCGTGTATACAAACTACAGAAGGGACAAGAAGAATTATAATAAGATACTTAGTTGCCCTTCCTCGATCTTTTATGTCAGTTTTGGGTTTTTTAGTTACAGATTTTACTATTTTAAATAATGTTTTGTGTCTTATTTGTGATTAGTTTATTTACTGCTAAATAAAGGAACAAAATGAACATTTTCTAACTGCGCTAATTCCGTAATTTATGTCAGGGTCTGTATATTAGCATTATTATTACTTTAGTTATTATCAGTGTTGCAGACCCGGTAGCATGCAGTGCTGGTTTATTAAAAGGTGGCCTTGTGCCAGGCACTACTTATGGCTACCGAATCCACAAACAAAGTAAGATTATTAAATGAGTGATCTTTAGTGAGGAAAAGGGGTCATTTAACACATGCACAAAAATAGTAAAATATAGATAGCCAGGATTAAACGACAAAATGAGCCTCGTGGAAAACTTATATGGAATTTTATTTGGATAACAAATATTCTTGTCTCAACAGTGGAGACTATCAGAAAAGGTAAGATCTGTTTTTAGCCTGTAGGCAGTTAGTAATATGTAGAGACTAATAAAATGTTAAAGTTCCGCGCCAAAACAGAAAAAAAAAATACAAGATGGCTAAGGCGGGAAAAGTTTCTTCAGAATGAAAGTTCTGGAATAGTGTCTTTTTGTACGAAAGGTGTATGCGTACACAAATAGGAAAAGTACTCACTGCGAGGTTTAATAATGTGTGTGTAATGTTATCTTTTTTGGAACTGGTTCGTAAGGGTTAGAAGTTTCAAAGGCGTATGAAAAGTTCATCAATCTTCAGTGAAGGAAAATTCTGAGTTCTTCGCATCAAGACGAGGAATTGGTCTTGAAAAAGTATGATGACGACAGTGTCGTAGAACTCTGGTAGTGAAAAGAGGAAAAGTTCAACATGCTGTTTGCATCAAGACGAAGAAAAATCTTGGAAAAATGTGATATCGACCGTGTCGATACTCAACGTTTTCTAGTAGAAAAACGGAAGAAGGTTCAAACAAGTTGTTTGAAGAGAAGTTGTAATCACACGACATGTTGAAATTTTGGTTAGTTAAGAATAAGATATTCCGGCCCGCGTATGGGTTAGGGGCACGGAATAAATGAGTTGACCTGCTAGCTTGAAAATCAGGCCGCAACTTGAAAACTCTGTTCGTCTATGACGTCAGGACACGCGCGGGAAAAAATTCAAATTCTGATTTTAGATGGTATCAGGAGTAGCTAGCCAGCAACCTCCCTCACGTCAGCGTTTACTACTATATCTAGCTGAAGTGACAGGAAGGGGTGCAGTCCGCGCGTGCGCGCGCGCACACACACACACACACACACACACAAAAGGGTGGAATTCACATCAGTATCATTATTAGCTTAATTATTATCAGATATTATTAGCATTATTGTCTCTTAGCGGCTCTATTGTCTTTCATCTTAAGGAAGCCAAACATCAGACGAGGAGAGAGGTTTTCCATTGCATGAATTGTTTCTGGCTCAAAGTGACGAGCCTCACACTCATCCTGAGTTAGGAAGACCTTCAAGAAAACCAGCTGGATCTGCCCCAAACTCTCAGATTTCTCATGATCTGCGCTTTCGATCAGGTGCCGGAAGACGTGGCTCGCACCGAGAAGAAACCTTCTTCATTCCAAGTTCATTGTGCTGAATATTTTCAACTCTCACACGGGATATGCTAATAAATTTGGCTACTCGATTTATAAGACAATCGCCTGTCATCCATCACCATAGACACGATCAACTTTTTGCCTCGCTGGTGGCAGTTACAAGACGTCCATACATTGGGTCATTTTCATGACTCTCTCTTCCTCTCCTAAATTCACTTGCCCACATTTACACTGTTGATAAAGCTAGAGTATCATCCACTAATGTGGCAACAGCTATTAGTGTATTAGGAGTTAATTGTTGGTATAAAGAAACTATCGAGTGGAACAAAAAAATGAAGAGGAAAAATGAGTTAATATTCAACCGTGTTTGACATTCAGCTATTATCAATGATTTTCGAACGGTTACTATAAAAATACATTAGAACTATTGTGATATTAGAGAAATAAATAAGAAAAGACAGGGCCCCAAATTACATGCTGTAAAACAACAAACGCATGTGGACTGAAAGAGATAATCAGGAATTTAACATTGCTATATTCAGTTGCCTAATTTTACACGGTTGATTTGTCAGGAAGGAGGCTTTCTGACGTTATCGGTATGGAGGGGGAATATCCCAGCGTGTGGCACCTTTGAAAAGTGCCTGAAAACAATACCACGGGTTGACCCAAGCCTTGTGAATGAAATTGGGCAGACGGTAACCCTAGGGACCGTCGATAGCTGTATTAGCACGAAGTCACAAGTCATTGTGACCGAGGGTTTGAGTGTGCTGACGTCGTTCAGATTGGTGATCGCGATAGATAACACGCTCTCTCCCATAAACTGTAACAGGCTGGCTCTGTGGGTCTTGAACAAACACAAATGTGCCTGAGCAAGAATCTGCAATAGGGATTGGCTAGCCGGGTATCCTCGAATACGAGTGGCCAGCTCTTATAACACACACACACACACACACACACACAAA